TATGCCATGGACAGCTATTTGGAGAAGAAAAAAAATCCTCTTTTTCCACGGCTGCTTTATAAAACTGTTTTAGTTTATAAAATAAACTTTTAAAACCATGAAGCTATCCCCAGGGGTACAAGAAGATAATCAAAGCTGTTACAGAAGGACTGAAGCTTAGTGTCTCCTGGAAGCCAAATTGCTAAGTGGAATGACAGAAAAAGTTGTTCCCAGTCACTTGGTGCCTACAGAAATACTGGGCATCTACTTTGAAAAGCAGGGGGAGTCTGTGTAACTAACAAATTACACTTCCTCTTCACTCCACAGAGGTGGTGCCGACTGTGCAAACATGAACTCTGTTGGCTCATCGTGAAAACACCAGGATTACAACTAAGAAATTGCGTATTTTGAGGAAGTGCTTGCAAGAGATGTAGTGAAGGAAAGATATTTTCCATATAGGTAGTGTAATTAAACTGCTGTTCTAATGACTTTTGCCTCTAACAGCAGAAACAAGTGCTCTGTTCCAAAATCAGAGAGGGGGAAGATAAGGGCTGTAATTGAGAAAGAAACTATTAAGCCTTTTATGCCCTGTGTATGCACACGTGTGTGAGAGACAGAGGAAACATTATTTCCTGACATCCACACCCAGGCATTACTAGACCTTGGCAAAGCTCACTGGGGAACTGTACGTGTCACTGATTAACGTACAGTTTATTTGGCTTTTTATAGATTATCAGTCTATAATGCTTACACGTGATCTGACTTCTTCCTTGAATTACTGCTTAAAGCTGAAGCTACAGTAGTGTGGACATAAGTCAGTGTCCAAGAATAGTGTCTTCTAAATAAGAATAGTTAATAAAATTCACAATAGAAGTAACTTTAAAGGCTACAAGAACTCTAAAGCACATTTCAGTTACACTGCTGTAATTCATTGCTCAAAACAGTGAGGAAAGTGTTTTTGTTAAATAGGTAAGCATCAACCTCTGTACTGTTACTACTCTGGTCTTTCCTAGCATGAACCACCTTGTTTATACACAAACTTTTTGGAAGCTCTCTACAGTCTGCTTGAGGGGAGAACAATTTTAAAGAACAATTTTAACAACTTGGTCTGACTGTGGTCACCTTTCTATAAAGCTGCCTAAATAACACAAATCTAGCAAACTACAATTCTTTGGGTGATCTAAGTCAGCTACAAAAACAGAATTCTCCAAGGTTAAGACTCGCTATGAGATTTCTAAGGATTGTGAACTATGGTTAACTGCGTATCAGGTGCTTCTCACCCCCAACAGATCCAAGGCAAGGGGGAAGAGGGACACGGTAAAATTATCATGCATTTACTGTGGGCAAAGTATCAAATTATTGTGACTCTCAGAGTCTTGGTGAGACTACTGTGGATCTAAAACTCACCTTTCTAAATAGGTTAGTCTAAAATTTAATCACCAGAATTTTCAAGGAATGCCAGATTAGAGGTATTCCAAGTGATAGCAGTAGTGCTAATGAACCTATAGAAGTTTTGGAATGAAAATCCAAATGATTATTCAACTATTTCTAGTTATTTAAACTGCTACCCATGTAGTAGCTTATTTGAGTGGAGTATGGGCCTTGATAACAATTCTTGGACTATATACTTTTTTCTTTTGGTTTAGAGGGCGTCCTATAGGGGACAGTGCTCTTCTTGGAGACCACCACTAACCTATCTTTGGAAGTGCTCTTTAAAAGTTTAAGAACTGAAGTCTGCTTTATCTGCCACAATCAGGATTCACATGTATGCTATCAGGCGAGTAATCCTACGTGAGAAAAGGGAAACCCTTTCACAGAAGGAAGATACAGCAGAATTACTGTACAACCAGGTTAGTCCAAATAGCAGCAGCTCTGCAACAGCTAAATGCCACTCATAATACTTACGAACAGCATGTGTCCAGTACAGAGCTACGACCAGAATAGGGGAGGAGGGGCCCAAAATGGGGATCTAGGCCAACACCAGCTGCAGAAGTCAGATGTCTGTTCTGAATACTTTTAATACAGGCAGTCTCATTTAAAGCCAGCTATTTTTTAATGACAGAACAGTTTATGAATCGTAATTCTAGAACTTACCAGTGAAAGATACCAAAGTAGTTCACGTAATTACAAAAATGAACAAACTTTCTGGGGTCTGAATGGATTTGTACTTGATGATACTCCTGTCAGTAGGGGATCGTGTTGTGCATTCTGCAGGCAGAATTGCTTCAAGTCTGCTGCAGCCTGAGAAACCTAGTCATAATAAAAGTTGGCATTAGAATTCACTGAACACTCTTTACTGAGGATGTAACTACATCAAAAAGTATAAAGAATACTGCTAAATGATCCTGCAATACAGCTTATGTAGATTTTATACAACAGTTTCATTGTAATTTTTTGGTTTCTTAAAGACAAGAGGTTGCACAATATTAGAGTAAGATTAGGAAAATTTTTATGCTAAACTTCTAAGCCTGAAGGGTGAAAAATGACCAATATTGGAGATGGCTTTGTTAAATATATGAAGATCCTTGCTCTAGCATAAATTGTTTAAAAATACAGCCTATAGTTTAAGATGCTGTACTCGACTGAACTGGCATTTTATCTTCCCTTGGAAAGGCATCCTTGTGATGAGATAGTGTATGGGTTTTTTGGTAGGCTGTACCTACCTAAGAACAGTGAAAAAATTGTCTTGCTTTTCTTTGCTGTAACTCTGAACTCATAAAAAAGAACGATCAAAGTTGCAGAAAGTACCATCTATCTTGTATTTGCAGTTTGCCCTGAGTTTCTGTAATTTCTGTAATTTGACAGGGCCCAGTCTCACCCCGAAAACGCACAAGTTAAATGCACTTAGCATGCTTTGCAGCGAAGTCTCCATTTTATGGTGTCAGGGCCAGGCCAGCCAAGGCAACCTGTGGGAAACCCCGACTGAAGCTACCCTCTTCACCAGTCTGATGGAAGAAGACACTCCCCAGAATCACAAAATAAGGAAATGAAAGGGGAGAGCGGGGCGCGTCCATCCCCCCCCGGGGGAGCGCTTCGGCCGGAGAGCTGCCCCCGGGGTCCCCGAGAGGCTGCAGGAAGCGAGAGGGGACGCACGGGCCGAGCCCCGGGGAGGCGGCGGCAGCGGGAAGGGACGCA